CACTTGCCATATTACTGAACTCTTAAAAGTTTTTCAGCAATTCCTTTGTTTTCCAGGTATTTAGTCACAAAAATATATATACATTTTTTTTCTCAGTATAATTGTCCCTTCTTTCAATCTGTAGACTATTATATAGCTTTTGATTTTTTTTTTTTTTTTTTAGCTTTTGGTAAGTTAGACTAGTAAAAAAAAATTCAGCTCTGAAGAATATAAGAATATAAAGATTCAGGGCAAAGTGTACAGATAAAATCTATTGCTATAGTTTAGATGTGATCAGGGTTGACATTCCAAATATTTGGCAGCCTATGGTGGGTCATCCCCAATCTGAATGAATGTAAAAAATTACAGATCATACCCTGGCGAGTACCCTCTACCAGTACTTATCAGTCTTGGTATGTGATTTGTTAATGGCCTTACATAATCTGAGGAAATAAAAATGAAAGCCTATATCTGAAAGATATTTTAGTCATTTTATTGTATTCATCAATGTGGAAATAAAAAATGTCTTCAAACCAGAAGGTGGTAGTCTAATTTATAGTAAGTGATCTACATTAAAATCTATTAAAATCAGTTCTCCAATTGAATAGTTAGAAAAGGGAAAATAACCCACTCTGTTAGTCACTTGTAAAGCGTTTTGGTAAGGTAGACTCAAGAGAAATTAGCAGGAGTTTTAATTTCCTACAGTATCCTCACTGGCTAACAATTAAATCATATCCATTTTTGTCCACTGACATGTACACTATGTCCAGCAACCCTGTGGCTAGACTCATAATATAAATATAAGTACTTATCAAATTAGAACTTAAATTGTACCCCATTTATTGATGCTTGTACTCATATTATTTCATACATTTCCTTCAAAAGAGCTCCAGATTTACTTTGATCATTCATAGACCATTTTGCCCATTTAAAGTGTCTGTTAGTATTTTCATAGTTGTGTAACCATAATGGTCATTAATTTGACAATATTTTCCTCACCTCACTCCCCCAGAAAAGCTCATACCAGTTCTGTTACTTTTTTATTCTCCTATCTCTGGCTCCCTAACCAGACAACCACTAATCTATTTTATGCTTTTAAAGATTTCTTGTAAAGGAAATTATAGAATAAGTAGTCTAATGTGACTGGCTTCTTTGACTTAGTACACCATTTTTGTGGTTCATCCATGTTTTAGCTTATTATCAGTACTTCATTCTTTTTTATGACTAAAACATATTCCATTGTATAGATGTACCACAATACATTCATCCATTCGCCAGCTGGTTGATATTTGAACTATTTCTGCTTTTGGCTATTATGAATAAAACTTCAATGAACATGTGTATCCATGTGGATATACATTTTCATTTCTCTTGGGTATGGACCTACCAGTGGACTTGCTTTGTCAAGTGGTAATTATATATTTAAAATTTTGAAAAACTGCCAGACTCTTTTCTAAAACAGTTGCACTATTTTATGTTCCCACCAGCAATATGTGAGTGTTCCACTTCTTTGCTGAAACTTATTATCTTTTTAAATTGCAGTCATCATAATGGATGTGATATATGACTTTGATTTCCATTTCTGTGATGGCTGATAATATCAAACATGTTTTATGTTTTATCAACCATTTGTATACCCTCATTAGTACCTGGGTTGAAAATTGAGCCTGCCTCCCTGTCTTTAGATCCTACAGACAAAATTAGGATGCTTTATACTGCTCATATAGTTTTAAACAACAAACCTTCTGATAACTTCATTGCTTTAGTAAATAAACCAATGAGTAAGAAAATAGGATACTTTCGAGAGGAGAGGCCATTATGACGCTTTGCAGTTACAGAAAATATCCTGTTAATTTTGCTGTAGGATTTAATATGCAACTGCTGTTCCCAGCCAGGTGAATGACCATGTTTTGTACTTGTAGCTCTTCCCAAGAACATCTTCATTGCCTTTCCCATTTTGTAAGCTCTTCTCCGGAACATTGTAAAGACAAGAAGGAGCTGTTGTACCTTTTTCAGTGGTATTGAGATGAAGGGTGTTCTCTCTAGGAAGTCCTCTGGGTAGCTGTCTGAGTTGTTGTTCGTGTCAGTGTGCCAGGCTGATAGGATCAATTTCCTTGTCCAGTTCTGTGGAAATTAGAATCTAGGAAATTAACTAGAGCCATGGTTCTGAGTTATTTGCCTGCCTTGTATTTTTTAATGAGCTGACCTCCTCTTCTTACCTCTACAAAAACACTTCAGAACCTCATTCATGCTTAACCAAACCTAATTCCCAGTTCAAAGGAGGATGGAGGGAAGGAATCTCTCTCTCTCTCTCTCTTTTTTTTTTTTTTAAGTAAGTACATGGAATAAAGTTGTAGTATTTTTACTTGGTTATGCATCACACTTTCAATATAATTATTTTGCTGAGGTAAAAAGTATGGAGTTGAAAAAAATAACACATTTATTTTATTTATTTATTTAAATTATGCCCATTTTACATTCGTGAATTCAAAAGGATGTTTAATTCTGTTTAATATTTTAGGATTGGTTGACTGGATAGATAAGTATTTTACTTTAATTTTCAAACTGCATAATTATCTCCCAGGACCAATAATTCAAAGTTCTTATTTTACCTGTTCAACTGATTCAGGAACCTTAATGTTTGAACATACACACACACACACACACACACACACACACACACAATCTGACATTGTGTGAAATAATCATAAAAATGATATGAATGTCTTAATGTTATTTCAACTAAAATATTTTTCATGATTTTTAATTTTACATGTCTTTAATTAGCTATTCATTAATAACAAGTACAATTTATATAAAGAATTAGATATCTTTTTGAGAAAAAAGTGTATTACTGAAATACTTTAAAGTGTAGCACCAGATTATGATTAAGTATACAGTCAGGTTGTCATTTATTACAAAAATAAAACAAAAGAGATTGTACCTGGACAATGAGGTGTATTATGTACTCTAGTAAACCTAGACCTATGTCAGCCATGGTAAAGGAGAGTCTGCTTTCATCTCAGTGGTGATAACAATTGTTTTTTCCTGATGTGGCAGGGAAAATGTGGCCATGAAGATCTGGCAAAAGAGGCGGAAGATACAGAATAAGGGTAGATGAATGATTGTGATCCACATGAATTTTTTCACAGCTATGCCATTTCTCTGTTTGTGAATAGTGAAAGAGCATAATGCTGCTTACACTACTAATAGAGTAAGCTTCATTTCTAACATGGTATGAAAGTGCAAAAAATACAGTGGAAGGGATGATTTTTTTAAATTAATAATTGAAATACCTTTAACCATTTTCAATCTCCCACCTACTCACCTCAAGTAAGAAAACAATATGATCCACATAGAAAGAGTTTTACAGATTTTATTGTGATTGTGTTCAATAATTTTTCCCCATCATTTCTGGTCTAAGTTTCCATACTAATCACCCACATTAATTTCTTGTAAATTGTTTTATTGAATGTGAGAGGAGGCCACTCACAGTAAATTACTGGTTATACAATTCATGTAGAGTCATACAAGATGAAACTAATAAGTCATTTGTTTGATTCTAGCTTTGTGTAGATTGAGAATTGGTGATAGGGGCTATAAACCCATCTCTAAATGGTAGTGCCAAAGAATATAGGCTTTTGGAGGCAGATTAACCTAAAATCGTACTTTAACTCTATCAGTCCTGTGACCGTGGGTTTCAGTTTCCTTTTTAGGAAAAGAAGAGCAGTAAAACAAGTATCACCGCAAAGCTTTACAGATAAAGTATTGCATGCAAAATAGTACCATTCCTAGCAGAAAGACAGTGCCCAATAGATGGTAGCTAATAACTGCATTGTTAGTGGATTTTTTCTCTGTTGTGTATAGAAAAAAAACTGACAAAACTTAATCACATTAAAGATATCCAGTTCAAAAGACTTTAATATTGTTTTGCACTGTCACTAAGTTCTGTTAACCATCAAACTAAATATTTACCCACCTTAAACCTGAAAATAACCCTCTCTACATACCTAACTTTAGAAGAGCTGAATAATTCCCTTTAGAGATTCCTTGAGAGAAATACATTTGAAAAGCTCTGGTTGTTACAATGTTAATTTCTTAGCATGACTGCCAGAGCGATATATATCCTTCCTGAAATTAAACATGCTAAGAGTAATAACTCTGAGGAAAACAGACAACGCAAAGGAAAAACTATAATAATTTGGTTATACTAAAAAAGGTACTCAAAACACCTCTGAAAAATAACACAGCTATCTGTGTTATCCTAGTAATTGGGAACACAATTTAAGAAATAATTACTCTTTTTCACATTGTCACTTTTATGTACTGGAGTCTGTGTACTAACATTTATCTTTTCTGACAACACTTAAAGTATACGTTAGCTGGTAATTAATTTCATTTTCTTTTACTTCTATATCACATTAGTTGAATAGAATCAAAGAACTTACTAGAGTAACTTATTAAAACATTCTCTACCATTGTTTAATGGAAGTGTGGTGTTGGATTTGGCTTTTCAATACTGTCGTAGTTTTTGATCTGTTTACTTTTCCTTGACATCTTCAGATATAGTATCAGGATAAAATTCATTATGATTATACCTTAGTGGGAACCTCAACATATGATTTTCAAAAGCATCTGTAAATTATTGCACAGTAGATACTTTTTGAGAATTAATGATTAAGACATGAACAAAAGAGACACCTTTTCTTAAATAAAAATCAATTCCTTAATTGAGGGCTTTTTTCTTGAGGGGGTGGTGGGACGATTCAGACTTTAATGACATGATTTTGCAAAAATTGCTCTTGTAACAAATATACCAGTTCATAACTCAGTTTTGCTGTGTATAATCAGCTATCAATTGTAGGCATCAAAATTATTATGTTTTTATTCCTGAGAATTTGTGAAGAAATTATTGCTAAAATAACATGTAGATATATAAATGTATCTTAAATGTCTTTTCTGTCCAGAAACTGTCTTTTGTAGATAAAAGTATAAATTTATTATTTTCTTTCTCCCATCAGATGTGGGCTCTGTTGAAGGACTTGCCTATCACAGGGCTTGGGATACACTGTACTGGACCAGCTCCACTACCTCATCCATCACCAGACACACAGTGGACCAGAAGCGACCAGGAGCATTTGACAGGGAAGCAGTCATTACCATGTCAGAGGATGACCACCCACATGTGCTAGCCCTGGATGAATGCCAAAAGTAAGAAACAGTGAATTATTATTTCTTCATTAGAAGTCAAATGTTATCAAAGTTATGTTAATTTTAAAAAGAATTACCTTTTAAGGCACAGGTGAGCATTATAAATGTGAACACTTAGAATCCAGACTTGTGAAATGCAGGGTATCAACTCTGTGAGAATTCCAGCAAAAGCAAATTTAAATGATGAAAGGGAAAATAGAAACAATACCATGCTGGAAAAGGTATAAGAAGAAGACTTTAATGCATAGCTGATTGAAATGATAAATCTGAAGAAAACTGTTAGCTTGTATTAAAAACTAAGAGACATTTCTATAATCTAATTAAGTAATTTTAGCAACTGGGAGTCTCTCCAGTTGAAATACAGAGAAAACAATAACTCTTTGTGTAAAGCTATATTTTCAAAAAACTTGACAATAGTCTAAATTGTCCACATATGTTTGAAGATATATTGTGCAGGCATTTATAATAATACTTACAAAGAGTTTGTGACAAGAAGAAATGCTCAGGCTATGGAGTATGGAGTATGGAGCTCAGGCTATAGAGTAATAAAAAAAAATTAGAAAAATATTCATGTTTGGTGTGGATGCCATAAGGAAGCAATTGTATGAAAAAAAGAATAATGAAGCTTGGGTTAGGCAGAAAAAAAAATATTTATGAAGTTCCACTTCCATATAATATGATAAGAATATTTGTTAACCACTGGAAAGTCCTTTTGTTCTTAAATTAATCAAATAAACAACAATCAGACAAATCTGGCTTTTACCACATAGAAATAGAAGAACTCTTTTTAGATGTGGCAAAGAAAAAATAAAGAATTAAAAAAATATATTGATAAACGCTGACCCTGACCACTTAAGGAGTGTATGTAAATTAGTCAGTGTATGACTAACTAAATCTAGACACTCTTAAGCGCTAGAAATGAGATTATATTTAATTCAGTTAACACCTCCATCTTATAAGCGAAAACTCAAGGTTGAGAGAAAATTGATTACTCACACAGCTCCGGTGACCTCGCTCAGATGGACACAGGCCCTCAGATGCCTGGGGCAGAGCTGGTTCCTCTCATACCACAGACCTACCACATTACAGCTTGTTGTTGAATCAAGTGCATTGATCTTGAAGGTTCACCAGGAGAATCTGAGGACAATAATAAGTGTTCTGCAGTTAATCAAAGGAATTTCTATGACAATTTTGAAATAAACCTAAGGGTGATAATTGATAATATTATATATGGTTACTTTTAACTGATAAGTACTTTATCCTATAATATGTATTACATAAGCTAAAATTACACTTCATCTTACATATAGTGAACTGTAAATTAGAATTAAACACACTGAAATGTTTTAACTGAAAATTACATGTAACTAAAATTTAAAGTATTTTTTTTTACTATGCGTATCAATGACACATTCAAATCACTTTTGAAAACCCATGTCAGTTGGTTAACAGAAATTTTAAAATAAAATTTTCAATTCTAGGTAAAAAACCATTTGAGTTCAAAACTTGGTTTAGTTACTATAATTTTATTTTATTTTTATTCTTTTTAAAGATTTTATTTATTTACTTGACGGACAGAGATCATAAGTAGGCAGAGGGGCATGCCCAGAGAGAGGAAGGGAAGCAGGCTCCCTGCTGAGCAGAGAGCTCGATGTGAGGCTCGATTCCAGGACCCTGAGATCATGACCTGAGCTGAAGGCAGAGGCTTTAACCCACCTGAGCCACCCAGGTGCCCCCAGTTACTATAATTTTAATTACTCAAGCTCTCTGACCTCCATTTTCTTATTTATGAAATGAAAGGTGAAATGAAAAGAATATTAATACCTTCAGAAGTTCTGTTATTCTAAAACCAATAATTGAGGAAAACACGGCAGGTAAGTGCGCTTAATACTTTGTATTACATGGATAACTTCTAAAATGTTTTAACTATTTTTCTTTGAAAAGTCAGAGTGTATGGATAAAACTACTGTGTCATTTAAGAAACTGGAATGCCATTTGTTTTTACAAATTTACTCATTTAGAGGACAACATATTTTTGACACTTGCTCACTCAGAAAACTTTCATGTTCCATAGGACAGATGAAAAGGCTATGAAACATTTTAACAAAGAGCATAGTTGACCCAGCTTTTCTTGGTGGGGTTATATTTTAAACTAGCAAATAGGAAGATTTTTGTTATGACTTGAATATTGTTTAGTTATAAATGTTGGTTATAATTTTATATGAACTTTAAATGATTATACATAGGAATGGTATATATAATCTTGCTGTAAATATGAAATATTATTTCAAATAATCTTTGTCAACATATATTAAGCATTTTTTCAAATATGTAGAATAGCCTGCCTGTCAGCCTCTCTCTCTTCCTCCATTCTTCCCTTCCTCCTTTTTTCCTCCTTCCTTCCTGCCTTCCTACCTTCCTTCCTTCCTTCCCTTGTTCCCTTCCTTCCCTTGTTACATTCTAAGCAGCAACAACCAGTCTTCAAGTAAACTCTTAGGGACAGTCCTATAGATAAAAGAAGAGAAAGAAGAGTTGTTTTGGTAAAAATGGGGAAACTGGAACTCTACAGGCTCTATTTTTCCAGTGACTTGTAAAGCCTTCCCCAAAGAACAGGTTAACAAACACTGATTTAAAGCATTCTATAAAATCAGTATGTAACAGATAATATTTATAGGGAGTTGAGGGTAACCCTGGAATTCCAAAAGCAACATTGTCATTTATAAAAATATCAAACTGACAAAGAGAGAAAAAAAGAAATTAAAGAAATATAGGAGTTTATTAATTGTATTTCTCTAAAACATATGCAAAGGAGAATGCAGAATTTAAAAAGCAAACCAGGAAAGAGAAGGAGATTTAGATATTTGCCAATTAAAGAAAGAGATAACTGTTTCGTCCATGATTAAAATAAATTCTCGCTATACATCAAATTGATTCAATTAAGTTATTTGAGAGAATGTACAAAACAATTTTTTTTCAGAAATTGTTTCTAGGTTTTATTTAAGGAACTGAGAAAAAGATACATGCATATAGAGTATACGTATCTCCACTTATTACCTAGACTTCCTTAAGGGTCATCAAATATGAGACAAATAAATTTACTTTTTTCTTTTTGAAGTTTGACATAGTCATGTTTCTACTGTTTCTGTTGTTAACGAAAGCTTTAATTTATTATCATAATTTTCATTTTAATTAGTTTAATGTTTTGGACCAACTGGAATGAACAGCATCCAAGTATCATGAGATCTACCCTGACTGGGAAGAACGCTCAAGTGGTGGTCAGTACAGACATACTCACTCCAAATGGTCTCACTATTGACCACCGTGCAGAGAAGCTATATTTCTCAGATGGCAGCCTGGGAAAAATTGAAAGATGTGAATATGATGGATCCCAGAGACATGTAAGTTAACTGAGAATTTCTTGATTATAGATTTAAACAATCATACTTTTAAAAAATATGCTTTGTACTTGTCTAAAATATGTATATAAAGGGATTTCAAAATATGTAATTGTTTGAACCAATCCAATTGAATATAAAGTGTAAAAGAAAACAGGATAATATTTTGAAAAATTTGTTCAAGTGCATTCGGTACCATAGAGACAGTCTAACTCTTACAGACTTTATTCTGGAGAAACAGTAACTGAGTTTTTTCTAACTATTAGTTGAACTGGAATTGTTAGAGTGATTTGCACAAGTTTCATTGTTATTTATATTTTTTTAAATGTGAAATGAAACTGACTTGCTGCCCTGGGATAAAAGAACATTGGAAAAGAAGAAAATAAGCCTCTGTCTGTGTTTGGGTTCTCAAAGCATCCTAAAAAGCTTTGAAGAGAGAAGAATGGGAATTTTTTCAGGGTCATGCATATTCTCTCTTTTCTCTGAGCTCCTCATAAAATGTTAATGCAACAGTCTTTATGCTGCCCCTGTAGAACCCTTACAGCAGGTATTTAGGGCCTATAGAATAATAAAAGTCCTGTGTACCCACTTATCCTATGAGAACATCAGTCCTTAGCAACTGGGAAAGCTCAGAGATCAGGAGGTTAAGATCTGGGTGGTAACGCAACTGGGGAAATCTTTGCCCTTGCACCACCAGCCCAGTGCATGCCTGAAGGACAAAGTGATCCTGACGCTCTTCACTCCTCCACTGCATTTCATAAAGGGCCACATAGTAAGTCTTTGAAGCTTTATGGTCCATATTGTCTCTATCACACCTGCAATACCTTATAGTGCTAAAAGCAGACACAGGGAATACGTAAATGAATGGGTATGACAGTATTTCAGTAAAATTTGATTTACAGAAACAGGCAATCAACTAGCAGTCCCTAATTTGTTAATGCCTAGTCTATATCATTAAGCATACTATTTAATTCAATTGAATATATGCCTACAAATATATTTATATATATATATACACCTATATATTATGTGTATGTGTATATAAATATGCATTGTATATTTATATATTATAGATATAGAAATAGATAATTATCCCTGGGCAACTAATTATATTTACACATATATGTATATGTCCATATCTTTACACATAGATATTGATATGCATATGTGTGTGTGACAGAAACAGAGAGAGATAGAGAATTCTTGAAGAAATACATTGATTTACATTTTAGCACATCTTATTATGGAGTGACTACCTTGAGTAGTACTATTACAGGACAGTTGAGTGCTTAAGGAATATGGAAATAATGAGCTAAGACCTGATGAGATTAGTTTGTGTTAAAGGCAATAACTATGATGAAAATCTTGGTCTATCTTTTCTAATTAAAAGCCATGTGAGGTAATAAACAAAATATACAAAGAACTCACACAACTCAACAGCAAAAAACAAAAACAAAAACAAAAAAAACCCACAACCCACCACCACCACCACCACCACCACCACTACCAACAAAAAAACCCAATCCCACCCCAAAAAAATCCCAAAACAGTCTGATTTAAAAATGGACAGACGAATGGAATGAACATTTTTCCAGATGGTCAACAGACACATGAGGGATGCTCAATATTATTCATCAGGGAAATATAAATCAAAACCACAATGATTAGGGTGCCTAGGTGGCTCAGTCAGTTAAGCATCTGCCTTTGGCTCAGGTCATCACCCCCAGGTCCTGGATTGAGAACCACATTGGGCTCCCTGCTTAGTGAGGACCGTGCTTCTCCCTGCTGCCCTTTCTTGTGCTCTCTCTCTTAAGATCTAAATAGATAAATAAATAAATAAATAAATAAATAATAAAATCTTTTAAAAAAGAGGTATCACCTTTTACCTTTTAGAATGGCTAGCATCAAAAGGATAAGAAATGAGTGTTGGCAAGGACGTAGAGAAAAGGGAGCACTATGGACTGATGGTGAAAATGTAAATTTTCACCACTATGGAAAACAGTATGGAAGTTTCTCAAAAAATTTTCACTACTATGGAAAACAGTATGGAATTTCTCAAAAAATTAAAAACAGAAATACCATATAATCCAGCCATTCCACTTCTAAGTAAACCAAGAAAACAAAAATAACCATTTGAAAAGATATATCCAGTCCTCTGATGATTGCAGCCTTATATATGATAAGTGAAATGTAGAAGCAATCCATGTGTCCGTCAATAGCCAAATGAATAAAGAAAATATAGTATATTTATATAATGGGATATTATTCAACCATAAAAAAGAATTATATTTTTTCCATTTGTGACAATGTGGGTAGACCTTGAGGCATTCTAAGTGAAATAAGTTAGAAAAAGACAAATATCTTATGACCTCCTTTAGATGTAGAATTATAAAAAACAAACAAGTAAACGAACAGCTCATAGATCCAGAGAACACATTGGTAGTTAAAAGAGGTGGTGGGAGTGGGAGAAATGGGTATTTTTTTTTCCTTAGCTTAAATAAATTAAATCCTTTTTAATGAAATAAAATGATAGTTATTAGATGAAAATTAACCATCATCAGTAAAAAAATAGTAAAATAAAAATAAAGGCCATTCAATCTTCATAAATTTTGGTTTTCTATTATATTATGCAAATTCTCTACCTAACTTTCAAGGTTAATATGACAACATAGTTCAAAAGTATGTGCCCAAGAATATAGCAAAGAGACTCCAAATGAAGGTATTAGATAATGTTTTTAAAATGTCAGTCAGGAAAATCATTGTCCTGGATGTGGTACTACTTTCCACTAGGGACTAATACAGGAAATGCTTCTATAGTGCCTTATAGCAATGTTTTATCCACCTCAATTTTTTTTTTTTTTAATATACCTGCTTTGCTTTTACCCCTACAGTATACTTTTATGTATGGAAATTATAGCTACTCTAAGTGGTTCAGTCATCAGATCTCTAACATAACTTAAAAGATTTCTTTTGACACTTAGAAAAATATATGCCTAGCTAAGATTTCAACTCTCCCTTTTGCATCCTTGTCTGAACAAGGATACTTTCTGGCTGACTATAGTGAAGAGTATTGTATTGTATATTTGAAATTTCTGAAAGAGTAGATTTTAAATATTCTCACCACCACCACCACACACACACACACACACACACACACACACACACACACAAATTCTAATTATGTGAGGTTATGGAAGTATTAACAAACCTTATTGTGGTAATCATTTTGCAGTATATACAATATCAAATCATCATGTTGTACACTTTAAGCTTATACATGTTATATGTCAAGTATATTTCAATAAAATTGGGGGGGAAATATTTCTGTCCTGTAGAGAGGCAAATGTTGAGGAGAACATTACTTTAAAGGTTATGATTTTATCTCCCCACATGACACTAACCAATTTTGTCTCAAACTTAGAATTACATGTTACTCTTCCTCTACTTTTATCATCAAAAAAAAAAATTTGATTTGGCCCAAAAACTTGGAAAATATTTCAAAATTTATTACATTTTTACATCCATCTAGATTTCCTTATCTTTATCTTCATTACAAAGGAGCAAATCTGTGTCCCATTCATCTGGCTTTTAATAAATACACATGTGGATAGTTGAATTATAGAAACCATAGGACCATATAAATAATACAATGAAGATTTCAAAGTTATATAATCTCTAGTAGATTCTGCTTCATTCTGTCTTTGAGGAAAATTAATTCTGCAGAGTTCCATTTTAACTAATAGCAATTTTTTTTTATTTAGTAAAATGCACATTGAATACTGCAGAGATTTTTCTGTTACCTAAAGACATAGGATAGAGAAAATGTGTTAACTTTTGATTATAAATACAATCAAATATTAACATAAAACTGTTTTCATTTGTGTCTTCTCTGTTTTTTTTTTTAATTGAAGTGTAGTTGACATAAAATGTTACATGAATTTTAGGTGTACAACATCGTGATTCAACATTTATAGACATTACAAAGTGATCAGACATTTAGTCTAGGTGCCATCTGTCACCATATAAATTTATTATATTATTGACTGTATTCCCAATGCTGTGCTTTTAATCTCTGAGACTTATTTTATAACTGGAAGTTTGTACCTCTTAATCCCCTTCATCTATTTTGCCCAACCCCCCAACTCCTTTACCTTTGGCAACTAGCAGTTTGCTTCTGTATCTGAGTCTGCTTATGTTTTGTCAGTTTATTTTGTATTTTTGGTTCCACTTGTAAATGAGATCATACAGCATTTGACTTTCTCTGACGTATTTCTTGTTGCATAATACCCTCTAAATCCATCTGTGTTTTCACAAAAGGCAAGAGTTCATTCTTTTTTGATGGGTGAGGTAATATTCCAATATATATGTATTTTATGTATTTTACATGGTCTCTAGACATTCATCTGTTGATGGGCACTTGGGTTGCTTACACATCTTGGCTATTGTAAATAATGCCGTAATGAACATATGAACGTATCTTTTCAAATTAGAGTTTTTGTTTTCTTTGGATAAATACCCAGAAGTGGAACTACTGAATTATATGACACTTCTATTTTTAGTTTTCTAAGGAACTTCCATACTGTTTTCCACAGTGGCTGCACAATTTATATTCTCACCATCAGCAGATGACCATTCCCATTTCTCCATATCCTTGCCAACATTTGTTATTTCTTGTTTTTTTTTTGATACTAGCAATTCTGGCAGGGATAAGCTGATAAGTCATTATGGTTTTTATTTGCATTTCCGTGATAATTAGTGATGTTGGGCATCTTTTCATGTATGTGTTGGCCGTCTGTATGTTCTTCAGAAAATTCTCTATTCAGGTCCTCTTGCTCATTTTTAATTAAGTTGAATATTTCATTAAGAATTTTTGCATGTATGTTTATGAAGGAAGAATATTGGTCTGTAATTTTTTTTTTCAATACCTTTATCTGGTTTTGGTATTAGGGTAATGCTGGCCTTATAGAATAAATTTGGAAGCATCCTCTTCTCTTTAACTTTTT